GGGTGGGTGGAGGGGCCACGCCAGCGCACCTGCGGATTCCGGAGTGAGATCTAGATTCTGTCATGTGTGTCTCACTAAGTGTGAAGGGTAAGTCTCCCTTTGTTGGCTGGAAAGGGGGAGTAGGCGGTACCCCCCTCTCAGTCCAGCTGTGAAAACTTAGGTGAGAGTACAAATGGGTGCATGAAGTAAAACTTTTTTCAGTGTCTGTTACTAAAGACCTGGTAATAAAGTTAGGATCCATACTATAATTTTCAACATTTGCAGAGGGAAACATGAAATGATGTTAAGATATTTCTTCTGTTGGTATAATATTCAAATAAGCAAGCTTTACCCAAGCCCGATTCTCTGCGTGCTCAAAACCATCCTTATCTATGCTAATGTAGGCTTCTCAACATACCAGGTATTTCACGTCTTTGAAGATAAGGAATTGCTTTCCTTTTTAGTTGTTTTTAAACCTGCTCAGTCTGAGCAGTCTAGTCTGCTAAATTCATGGTATATATTTTTTCACAGTGCATATATTTCACCAGCAATGGTATAATTTAGGCAGGTGCAGTGATTTCTAGGCCCTGCGTAGATTAGTTAAAACTTTCCAACATTGACGTTCCCTAGAAAATGTTTTCAAAGCATCACACATAGGTACCTCTAATGCAGAGTTCAACTGTGGTTTAATGGTTTACAGGGGATTAAAAAAGAAAGGGGGTGGATTGTGTGGACGGACCGAACCCTTGCTCGGTGTACCTGATCCGGTATATCCTCAAGCTTCCTTATAAAGTCTATACAGTGCATTGGCACACATTTAAAACATGAGGTCTCTAACCAGATAGAGGGAATGTGGAAATTTTACATCTTTTTCCAATGAATCCTCTGAGATTTTAACGCAGATATATAGGGAAGATAACAAGTAGCACTGTTGCTATTTTCTGCACTAATATTAATGGACAACATCCGAAGATAATTCTTCTATTCTAGCTTAATTATAAAATCCAGATGAGGCTTTCATGTCATAATTAGCATGCTTCAGATCACAGGTGGCAAACACAGGCCCGTGGGCTGAATCCGACCCTCCACCTTGTTTTATCCCGCTTGGCACCTTGTTTCTACCCAGGGGCAGTACCAAGCTCCTTGCCTCTAGTTAAGGAGGAGCTACATTCATACAGTCCTAAAATTACACTCGACCCTTTGAAAGCAACCTCAAGGCCGATGTGGCCCCCTGGTGAAAATGAATCTGGCCCAATGAACCACAATTTTAAGTGGTCTGTAATTATAACTGTTATTGGCCATCTATTCTACAAACAAATTACATGTATTACAGCAAGATGACAGGTTGCTGGCATAGTGTAGTTAGTGGTGTGCTGATGTGTGGTTTTGGCCAGTTTCTATGGTGTAAATGTTCCCACTGTAGCTGATGTTAAGCTACCAATCATTTGACAACAGCCTCTCGAAATCCCTATATATGTCACAATAAACTTTTTTCCAACCAGCCCTAGCCAGCACCAGCACATCACTGAACAGCTTGATACTTATCCATACCAGATTCTTATGTTGGAATAATGATACTTTTTAATTATCCTGCAGTGCCTTCATTCAACTGCAGTTCTCCCATTAAGAGAATGTCCTTATGTATGACTGTTAAAGGCACTTTACAATAGTGATTATAATAATTTAAGTCATATGCTACTTTGAGAGGCTAATCAAAGCTATTAACCTTGTCTCCAAGAAAAAAAGTACACACCAAGAATTATGAATATAGTTTCGGGGGATTCTTGGGCCTCCTGACACTTGTTCGGAGGTTTCAGATAAAGAATCTCTGCTGTGTCTTTGAGCCAGACAAACAATGCGGCAGGCAGCTTTCCGAGCGGCAGAGCTGCAGAGCTGCAGAGTGCCGAGACTGTGAGTTTCGAGAGAGTTCAAGCCACTGACTGTCTCACCGCAGAAGAGTTAATTTGCCAGCATTTCATGAATCGTGTTTACTACCTGACTGAGCTCTTTTATCGTCGTTCTAAAATCCAGAGATCACAAGGAATCCAGGAGGAGATGAAGAGGTGAACTGCTGAGTAGCACTGAGGAATTTAGTTCTCGTGTCTCCCTTTGTTCTACTAATTTTGTGGGAACAGTTATACAAACGAACTCCAGCACTTGCAACATTTCAATGTTCACTCCGAAGTGTAAGCTTTCTGTATGTGTATGTGCAGGTGTGTGTGTGTGTATATAGACAAAACCTTAATTAACACTTACTCCCCCCCCTTTTTAATCACAGGCATAATTAAACCTGTTGGCACCTGACTTGACCAAGTGCCTTTTTTATATAGTTCCACAGCACTTGCGCTGTGTTTTGTGGCACACTTCATGATTAGATTTAAACACTGAATTCTGTAGTGGTTTTCAAAAACAATCCCTTTTACTAGGTTGAAGGTCAGGAAGTTCATAGCCTGACGCAATGCACACACCTGATCGGCACTAAGCGAAGATCTGCCGGATGAAAGAATTGGTGAGTCCCTGGGGATTCGGGGGTGTACATTTTTAGGAGACCAAGGTAAATAAGAAGAAAGCAAACAAAAACGGAAGACCAAAGTTTTAATCAAGTGACCAGGTTACTAACTTCAACTTTAGTGTTGTTTCTTTTCTAGCATCCACTGTAACAGCAGCATTTTTAGTCCTGGGCACTGGGAGTTGATTTGGAGGATAATGGCCCCCCTAGATCTTCATCAGGAACGTCTCTACTTTAAAAGGCAGGAAGGAAACGTTTTTCTCCTCCATTTCTGAGGTTTTGTTCGGCTGAGTCTTTCCAACTTAATCCTCCCATGACCAGAGAGAACTGAGCTCACCAGAATAAATCAGCACTGGAGAATTCTGACTCATTAAAGGTGGCTTGTAATTAGCAAAAAGGTTTAAAAAATATCGAGTCACTTTGAAGATGTCTGTCCGGTTAGGAAATGGTGACATCAGAGACAGAGACCCCCATCTTTCAATAGCATGGGTCGTTCAGTTTAGGGAAAATTCAGGGACGAAGAGCTGGAACTTGGATATCCCAGCATCAGTAAACCCTGGAGTTGGGAGGGGGCATCCTCGCCCGCACAGCGGGTGTGCCACTGTGAACTCCAGTGGTTAACCGGCCCCCTGCAGGTCAGGCATCCTCTCAGAAACAGAGTCCCCTGGTTCTTACCATGCAGTGCACACTTCCCACGTGTTTACTGAGCATCTACCACTGTGACGGACACATCACCAGGGTTCCAGCCACAGCAGAAGTGGACACGACACGCCTCGCATCTTTGATGAATTTACATTCCGACAAAGCCAGGACGCAAGTCATGGAAGTACAAAGCAGAGCGAAGCAAAAGTGTAAGAGACACAAATGGGCAGAGAATTAAGATACCACATCTAGCCTTGGCTGGTGTAGCTCAGTGGATTGAGCACGGGCTGTGAACAAAAGTGTTGCAGGTTCAATTCCCAGTCAGGGCACATGCCTGGGTTGCAGGCCGTGACCCCCAGCAACCGCACATTGATGTTTCTTTCTCTCTTTCTCCCTCCCTTCCCTCTCTAAAAATAAATAAATAAAATCTTAAAAAAAAAGATACCACATCTACTCAAATACCGCATTTTCCCATGTATAATGTGCACTTTTTTTTGCCCAAACTTTTGAAGGAAAAATAAAGGTGCACATTATACTTGGGTTGTACCTGAAATACCTTGTATCTGTTCTTGTGTTTTGTAATTATTTGTTACATAAAATTTCTTGTACCATCATGCGGTCAAAAATAAATACTAAAATTCCTTTATAATTCAAAAACGAGTATCTACATATAAATAAATAAGTAAATAACTAGAATTAAAAAAGTAAAATGAAAGATTTTTTTCCTGAAAGTTTGGGCCAAACATGTGAATGTGCATTAGGCACAGCAAAATGTGGTGCGTGAAGCAAGGCTTTCAGAGGAGGCCCCACACTGAGACAGACCGTGAAAGGGGGTGGGGAGGCTACACGTGGAGGGTGGAGGCAAGGAGGGCAGTCTGTAAGCAAATACGGGCAGCTGGGAAAACCGGGGCACATTTTCTTTCTATGCAAACACAGTTCCTCTGGAATATACTGCTTGAGATGACGTAGTAGGTGAGTCAGGACAGTACGTATTTCCCATATTATACACGTGGAGAGTGTTAGGTAGGGAATGTAGGATCGAGCAGCCTAAAGTCAGGGGTTTGAGACCACGAGCTACCGTCTGACGTGTCTTTTCATCAAGACAGCCATAGACCGCACTTCTCTCTGCTCACGAAGTTAGAATGTAGACATCCAAGTCTAGACCAAATTAGGAAGCCAGCTGAGTTTGCGTTTGGTACAGTTTATGTCTCTCGTGAACTTCCACCACCGCCTGCTCCCTCATCCCATTCTCCTCCGAGTAGAACCCGTATCCGACCTCATCCCTGGTGAGCACTGACGGATAAGGCCTCGGGGATGGGCACGGTGGGCGTGACCGTTGCCAGGAGCGTTTCCATGCCAGCAGGAGGACTCTTAAAGTAAAAGGCTTCGGGACTCCAAGGAATCCCAACCTAACGGTGGCAGCGGAGGAGGCAGCCGGGAGAACAGTTTGCCAGGGAGCCACACTGGCGTGCACCCTTCAGCTCGCAGACAGGAAAGCCGCACCTGCGCGTCTCCCTGCTGTGGCTGACAGGGACCGTTAGTTGTTAGAGTGACAGCTTGACGCAGAGCGTGGGTGACTCAGGGCCGACCATTCCCAAGAGAGGAAAACACTCACAGCAGAGCTGCCGTGCTTAGCTTGTCATGTTCACTTCCTAAACTAGTGAAGGGGCTTCAGGCTGCTAGGGTAGACGAAAGGGAACTAGAAGCGGGAGGTTCTGGGTTTTAGATCCCGATTTAAGCAGCACTTTTCACATTCGTCTTTTGGCAACACCTGGCAATGGACATGCAGTTCTCAGAGCCATTTCACCTCCCTGGTATTCTGTGAGAAGGCATGAGTTTGGGCCATCCTTGGGGGAGGCAGAGAGGAACGTCAAGCGTCTGCGAGCTCCTTTCGCGGTGCCTGCCCGAGACAGAGGGCTGCGGGGAGGTGCGGGCTGCAGGTGGGCAGCTGACAGGGGACCCGGGCACCCGCGTCTTCGGTCAGCTCCACCAGGGGGCATTCTGCCAGGAAGACGTTCCGCTGGGCAGGGGGCCCCGATGGATGATGCTGGGGGTGCCACTGCTTGCAGGAAGGAGCGATCACATTCCCGAACGCGGTTCGGAAGCGGCGGGAGAGTAAGTTATAGATGATGGGGTTGACAGCTGAGCTCAGGTAGAAGAAGACGCCTGGAACGCAGGGGATTAAAGACACACGGAGAAGCAGAACCATTGAACAAAGGCCTAGAATCCCCGTGACTGCCTCTTCGGGAGGCGATAATACATACAAGACTCTAATTGAGGATACAAAATACTCTACCACCTGTGTACACAGAAATCAAACGCAGAAAGATTAAAGCGTCGTGGCAGAATTTAGGCTGGTGAGGGATCTCCCCGAGATGTTCTGCAACATCCTTTAATCCCCACTTGTTTAATTAAAGAACATGTTCCCACAGCATTAATGAAAGATGCGTAACTATCAGAGGAAGAGAGATGCTTTTGTCCCACTGGAGTTGTGTTTAAATCTATACTTTGAAACTTGCAAGTGATGGAGGGATGGTAGATCAGTCAAGGCATCGTCCCTGCTGAGATTCCTTATGTGCTTAATATTTCTTCAAAGAAAAATTTCCCAATGCTCTTTCTTATTAGGCTTTTTCCCTTCAGTGGTTCTTCCCACCTAATTTCCAGCTTTATTAAATAGCTTCACTTTGCCATTTTCTTTCCCCACCAAATGCCTTGCACAGTGCCACTTTCTTTTTCGGTATGGGCTCCTCTTTTATTACCACATTTGATTTTATTCCCCCAAAGCCCAAGAGGAGCCTAAAGTTGAAATTCAGAGGAATTAGCTTCTGATTGTGGCCCTTGTTTATTCTGTGGCCTTCAGTTCTCTCTCTGCAAAATGGGGATGATAATACAAGCCTAGCCCACCTCTCTGGATTATTATGGGATAAAGTTGAGATGCTGTCCAGAGAGGGGCTGAGAATGGCTGAGAATAGGAAGCAAGTGATGGGTACTGTCCTCAACATGCTCATCACTGTCCTCATGTACTCAGTTCAGGACACTGAGAGAGCTATGTGCCCTGTGCTCAGAATTGGGGACAAAGAAATATAGAAGGAAAACATTCCTATGGACTGGTAATTCATTCAGTAAATATTGATTGAACTCTTATTTTGTGCCAGGAACATTGAGATACATTAGAACGTAGTGTATTTAGACTTTGTTTTCTAACTGTTATAGAGGCAAGCTCTGCCTAACATCAATCATTAATAATAAGATAATACCAAGTGATATCTGTTAAGAGCAAAATATGTGATACCAACGGCCATGCTCTGGAAAGTCACATAATGGCATAAATACAAGGAGTATGGTGGTCGTGAAAGATTTAATGGGGGTGGTTGGACTCTAGCCAGACCCTGAAATGGGTAGGAGATAGCTGGGGGAGAGAGGAGAGAGGACTGAAGGTAGAAGGCATAGCATGTACAGATATGCAGTCGGGAATAACACAGAATGGGCAGAGCTCTCTAATCAACCAGTTTGACAGGCATGAGGTCAAGGATTGTGGGAGTATTGTAACTTGAGGATCAAAAGGCAGGGTGGGGGTCATTTCTGTGGCATTTAAGGTTTCATCTGGTTGGTATTTATAGGGGAAGGAGAGACAATATCTTAGCAGGAATGTGTTACACATGTCATTATTTGGACACCTTAAAATGATTGTCTTGGTATATTTGGAAAGTTACAGTCAACTAGTCAAGTCTCATGAGATCTCATTGTGTTTTCCAACTTATTTAAATACTCCCATTTTACTCAGATTAAAGAGCTATAAATATTTTTTAGATTTTGCCTACAATGATAAATAGTTTGACATGGCAGAAAGTTCTAATGTCCAAGTATAAACTGAACACAAGGCCTGATGAGTAGAAAAGAGGGTATAGAAAATAAATAATATACATAGTATTCTCTTGTTTTTTGCTCTGTGCATGTCTGGAGCTTAACTTGCACAAACTGACCTTTTCTTTCCTCTCTGAACCAGCTGGTGACTAGATGTGGACCACAGGTATGGTCTGAACTGAAGGCTGACAGACACAGTGACTGAGAAACAGGGACCTCCATGGCCATTCTCTGCTCCATTTTAGCCGAAATAACTCTGAACTTGAAGTTAGATGATTTGGCCCCCACCCTGTTTTCACTGTTTGCCAGCAGTGTGCCTTTGGGCAAACCATTTCTTTCTTGTGGAATTCTTTCTTCAACGGTAAAATGGTCATGATAATATGCACTTAACCTCATTGTGATGATTAGAGGAAGGTATATAGCATTTTACAGCTTAAAAACTTTTTATTAGCTAATATTTTATTTGCTTCTTACCATCAGCCCATGGTTTGTATAGAGCAGGCGTTATTGCCATTTTATAGTTGGCATAAAGGAAGCCATGCCCTTCAGAATAGTAATGGTGAAAGTGAAATGCAAATCCAGGTTCTTTGACTCAGTGACCTGTCCACCTCCATCTGTACCATAGTCTATGGTATCTTCAACAAGCACATTAAAGTAGCCCAAAGGCAGATCCTGATGCACCATGAGTAGTACCCCCTGTATGGCTTTCATAAGGACCAAACACTTGTTGAAACAATACAAAACTTCAGGGACATGGATATTTAATAAATAAGAACCAATTCAATCATGTATCCATTGGGAAGAAAACCAAAGAAAGCGCTCCTGAGACCCTTTTCCTGCTGCAATCATCATGCGTAAAGTTGAGTCTTCCATACAATGGCATCTAAAGTACTGATCCAGCGTGTTTATGTGGGACCACTAGCATACTTAATTGATATTTAGATGAAATAAAAATCATAATATGGCAGGTCCCCGTGATAAATCCAGACAGAACCTACTGCCTTCAGCAAGATGAAGAGCCTGCAGTTACCTGGATGTTTGTGATGCAACCAAAGGAGCTAAGATTGTACCTGACACCACATGGATGAGGTTGAACACAGCAGCCAGGGATTCGGTCCACTCCTCCACAAAGCTGAAGAAGAGCCGATCGATGTGGAACGGGGTCCAACAGATAGCAAACACTAAGACCAGGATGACTGAAAGAGGATGGTAAATGGGAGAGCAAAAGGCAGTCACAATGAGGATAGGTGCCCAATGCCCATGGGTCCATCCACTCCTTCTAGCATTTCCCCCTCTATCTCTGTTATAATTATTGCAGATCAGCTAGAGCATGAGGCACCTCTATATAAAATATTTAAACACAAGCATGAATTATGAAGGATGGAGGATCAGTTTTCCATATGATTTCACAAGATTTCCAGGATAATGCAAATTTCCTTTAGAACATTTAAACTAGTGTTGAACCTATTCTGCACACATTCTATTGTGGACAATGAGTTATGTTGCGTGAACATTGTTGGAACCACATAAACTGGTTATATAAATAAAATGGTTGGGTTCAAGTAACTGGTGTCCTTTAAAGTCATAGATTAGCAACAGACTAGTCAATATAGTATGCATTTATCTTGTTACTCTAGAAAGAATTAAAAGCAGTTCTGAATTCAGTCATTTAAAATTCTGTAAGGGGTGAGGGGGAGAGGAAAAGAGAAAAACTGTAAGTATAACATTGCTTTACAAGCATCTTTTGATTGGGATGGGGATGTGTTTATTATATTGGATGTTTCTAGGGTACAGAATTGCTTCCAGTTTCTTTTTATTTGTTTCTACCTTTTATTTTTAAATAATTATAGGTTCACAGGAGGTTGCACTTTCTAGTTTCTTATTTTCAGCTCCCAGGACAGCAACTGGTGCTACTGAAGTTACCCTTTGGGGCATTTGATCTGCACAAATACAAATGTATTTTTTCTCTTCTGAAGTTATGAAATACTTTCCTTTCCCAAAATGTGATGCTTGAGATTTGCCTCAAAACAATCTTGTAGGAACGAGGGGAGACACAGGGATATAGATGAAACATGAGTAGCTGTGAGTTACTAATGCTTGAGATTGGCTGATGGGTGTGCGAGTGTTTGTTTCACAGCCCCCTGTGCTTGGGAGCACGTCTGTGTACCATGTACCATTGTCAATAGCGCAGAGATTTCCTGTTGGCATTAAACACGTTCAGAGAGCGTTGTTGGTCTGTGTGGTGTGGTTTCGGGACTATCTGGAAGTTCCTTCTGAGTTTACTCCTTCAAGAAAAAGTCTCTAATCTGCCCATTACTGCCTATAATTCCCTTGAATGCAAACTTCAATTGCTTTTAAAATCGAACCCTCCCCACCAAAGGCAAATACTTTACAGAACATGTTATCATCCTGACTTTAATGTGAACGTGCTTCAAGTCTTTTTGTGAGAGTAGATTATGATCAAGGAGAAAGTGGAGAGATAATGAAGACACGAGACTTCTTAGCAGGGAAAGGCAAGTGCCAATAGGGTCTAAAACATTTCCAGGAAGTTGACCGTCAGAGTCAAAATGACAAACTTTGGTGACTTGCACAGTTTTTCTTTGCACATAACTGCCATACAGTTATGGTGAACGCTTCATATACATATAAGCCTGGGGGATTTGTTTCTTCTGAATCTTAGGTTTTAACTTAAGTATATCATGAACCTCTTTTCCCCCATCACTGTCTCCTTTAGGGTGGAGCTGGATCAAATATCTTTATAATATTCTTGTGAGAGAGTATGTATCACCGCCTGGATATATAATTTTGAAACACCTGAGCTGTACAAAAGGGTGTACTGTTTCATGTAAAATCATGCAGTGTCATAGATGGAATGACTACGTAGAGGCACTCCTGGACAGCTGTCCGTAATCGGGAGTTAAAGATCTCATGGAGTCCAAGAATGAGGGTCAGGGGTTCCCTGATCCCCTGAAGTGAGTTGTAAAACATTTTGTGTCTGTGCATTTGTGCTTTTTCTGAGTGGAGCATTCACAGCTTTCATTAAATTTTTAAAGAAATACTTAACAAATTAGGTTAAAAAGCACCTGCTTATTTTAGAGGGGGAAAGACATGCTCAAAAGCTCATGGAGTAGGTGTGATTTGCCAAGCCCCACGCACTGTGTTACAGTGGATGCAATTCAGTGTGTGGTTTTGAGTTTTAAAAACGTAAATAAATATTCAATAGAAATCAAACAGGTCCTAGAAACTTGAGTGTCTAGGAAAACCAGATAATGCATTTCAGGAGAGTTTTGGTCCTGGTCCTAGAAGCACTTTCTCAGCACCAAATGCAACTCTTTTGCTTTTATAAACACAAATTTTAAAAAATGGAGGACTCACATAGCATTTTGGTGACTGATTTTCTGGAGGGTCTGTGAATATTTGCAGTCATTTCTTCTGCCTCAAGGGTTTGGTCTTTCGTCAGCTACAAGGGAAGTGGAAAGAAATGTTAAGAAAGAAAATGTTTTTTTCCTGTGCTAGAGAAGTGTAACTCTAACACTCATTCTGCAGACCAAAAACTGAGACATAAGATAAATGTAAGAATTGTCAAAGCTCAACAACAAGTTAAAGGTGGAATTGGATCCAGGTCATGCAACTCAACTGGATGGATGGATGTGGCCAAGTCGTGGCGTGGCCACCTCTCATCTGCTATCTGTAAACCCCCTGTTACATACAGCATGTCAGTAGGCATTCCACGAAAAAGGTGGAAATTATTAAGTGAAAAAATGTTAGATAGGCTTTTTCCATTCATTCACTCATTCATTCAATAATTATTAGACATGTATTAGAATGTAATCTTTCTGTTATATGGTGTGTAGGCAGTAGAAAACCAAAACAGGTATTATTTTTGTTTTATGAGGTCTATAGTCTTCATTGTGAACCTGCATGTTTCCTATGCTAATGGACATTGAGATGCTTCATAGGGGATAGTGTATCACCCTTCCCTCATGGCCACATTCCACACCCTACGTTTCTCACCCCAGCCTTAAGGGGGATAGTGCTTCTCTGACTGAACAATACCTTCCCCCAAATTGTAAAATACCTGGTAGCATCTTGTGAAGCACAATTTGGGAGATTCTACTTTACTAATATTACTAATAAGTGTGTATATGTTTTGAGTTTAAAAGTTAAAAATATTCATCGTCATTGGAAGATATGGTGATTCTTGAAGTAGCATCTGAAATTTCCAAATATTCCTACTGCCTGTACATGCAACCCTTTCATGCTTGGTTCAAGTCCCGCCTACTCCTGGAAGGTTTTGGTGGCCAGTGTAGCCCACTGTTCTCTCCTTCTTCTGAACTCCCGTAGCACTGAAGATCTACCTCATTCATCTAGTTGTGGAATTTTCTTCTCTTTAACTTATATATTTTTATCCATGAGGACAGTCAACCAGTAAAGCAAAGGAAGCTTTAAGGGCTCATAATAAACTACCATCATATATTCAGAAAATAGTACAGTTTATCTTTGCCAATTGGTTCTCTGGGATTTATTCTCCTCTTTTCTTGTCAATAGTGCCCTAATTTTCCCTTAGAGAATTTATTCCTTCTCCATTCTTAGCAATTAATTTGGATGGGCATGATCCCTTTTTCAGCTCTCAGTTCAGTCCCTAGATAATTTAGCTACTAACTGTCCTTCAGTCACAGCGATTGGATAATTGGGACTAGTGAGATTTCAGATATTTGCTTATACCTCTAGGAATGGAAGTTTCATTTCTCTTTCCTTGGGGCTGCTAGAGGGAGCCTTCTTGTTCTCTGCGTGTGAGGTTTGGAATTACAACAGCTGTATTTTTTCTCACTAGAAGGAACATGCTTGGAGCCACCAACGAGCCACTGTGTAGCTCTTGAGGTTGAAAGGAACATCATAGAAAGAAGAGCAAAGAAACAGAAATAAAGTGAGGTCCTGGTGCCAGTGTGTTTCATTAGGATAATCTTCACCACGAGTCAGCTCTACCTCTGGACTTTCCCAGTCTATATGCCCCTTTCATATTTTGCCAGATTGAGTTGGGATCCCCTCATTAGCAATGTAGAAAGTCCTGGTGAACAGATCGAGGGCAACTTAATTTATATAGTTTTAGGGTAAACTGGGATCGATTTGTTGAGTTTTAAGTAGATATATTCCAATTCAAGCTAAAGAAGAAATTAGTATGGTTGTATGTACCAATGGCACAGACTGCTCTGTGAATCAGTCTGCTTCCTGGGCTGGATGGCAGTTCCAGAATATTTCATAAGAGGTATTTAAAGTTAAATAGAACTTGGAAGAGAGGTCATTAAATGTTGCCTCCAAAGTTCAACAAATCACTGTCCCGTCTCCCTAATAATCATGGAAGCTCCTAGAAGTCAAGTAGCTCTCAGGACCCCATCGACCCTCAGGCGTCCACGGGGGTGGTTAGCCACCTGGCCATCTCTCTCTTGGCTGTACTGGTGACTATATTGACTACATATGCCTGTGTCTTCACAAAGTGAGAGATTCAAGTTCTCATGAGATGTGACCCTTCAGAGTCACCTGGAACTTGGAAAGAAATAGGGGGAAATATGGTGCAGTTATCATGAAGAGTGGGAGGAAGCTGAAGGTGACAAGATGTTATTAACATAATAGCAGAACCAAAAGTGCAGGTAGAGTGTCCATCTCCGTCCCTGACACAGGACACCCAGGAAGCGACATGTTATTGTCCTGAGTCCACTCAAAAGACCAAAACGGAACTTTGACGACATAGAATGTTTTATTTTTTTATCTGTGGGCCTACACACATAGGTTTCCGAATCACTTCTAGAAATTCTTCCTTTCAGAGTACACCTGCCCACACGCAGTGCTTGTTCTGATACAAAGAGGCAGGAGAACATTGCGTTAAAGTAGGAGCAGGTGCCTCAAACTACAAATCATACTAATAATCCCTCTTTAGTTAAATCTACTGAAGTTTCTAATTTGTTCACATCTTTTAAAAAATGTGTCATTATTACAAGATAGCTATTACATTATTTAATTTCTGTCTGTAATTAAGAACAATGGAAGGATATTGAGATCTATTCATCGTGCCTTTGGCTGGGTTTAACAGTTTTCACTGGAGATTTCTCTACCTCAAGGAACAATTTCCTTGAAACATAAAGCAAATAGTTCATGGAGTTCTTTTGTGAACAGGCTTTCTATACAACATAGTTTGCTCTGAAAAGAAAATCATGATGTGTTCATCACTGCTTACTTTTCAGCTCCCTTAGGTTAGAACGACACAACTAGCCAATGAGAGGAAGAGTGAAAGACAGAACTTCTGTGCATGTTACATGTTGTTCCAACAGAGTTTTAGGGGCTGACACAGTAGATTAGAATCCAAACAATTTGCCTAGCCAATAGTAAATGCTGCTTTATTTTTGAATGATTTCATTTCCCTTCAGATGTTTGGCAAAGTAAGATATTCAACCATTAGTTATTCCCACCCACTCCCAAACTTTCATTTTAAAAGTAAAGTCACAAAAAGAGGAGTGAAACATTGTGGCTACTATATAAGAAGTTTGGAAGTCTTCCCACCCCCTCCCTGTAGCTGTGGAGGACAAAAGGTGAAGGCCATGGGGGACGGTTATCATTCAGATCGATATGTGATCCTGATCAGTTGTTTATAGGGTCACAATCACTCCACCAGCTGTTCATGTGTATTATCTGTGAGATTAAACTTCAGAATATCAAGATATAATCATAGCCCTTGTCTTGCAGTCTGAATGAATTTTTTTAAAGATGTTATTTATTTATTTTTAGAGGGAAGGGAGGGAGAAAGAGAGAGAGAGAGAGAGAGAGAGAGAGAGAAACATCAATGTGCAATTGCTGAGGGCTATGGCCTGCAACCCAGGCATGTGCCCTGACTGGGAATCCAACCTGTGATGCTTTGGTTCGCAGCCCTCGCACAATCCACTGAGCTACGCCAGCCAGGGCTAAATTTTTTATTTAAAAATGTCAGCCCGACTCTGTTTGGCATGGATGAATTCTGCGACAGTTCGTAATGCATTGCTCTTCGACTCAAGCACTAATGCTGTAGGCGGGCAATACAAGGATTTTGCATGAGCTTCATTAGAACTTCCTTCCAGATGGGAGGAGCTTGCCCTGGGATTGTCTACTTTCTGTCTCCACCACGTTTGAAATTTGGAGAGCAGCTCAGTGGAGACTTGTGTCCTGGCTTGAAGCAGCACTAAATGGTCATCATTGAGCATACAGGGGCTCTCCTCCTCCTTCCCTGGTCCTGGGACTTCATCGGTCTTTGGGTTTTTGCCTTCTGAAGGCAGTGGGTCCCAGAGTCTAACATAGCTTTAGATTTGCCAAGGGAATCGATAACTTAATAATCCTCAGAGCTGCTTAGGCCTTTTAAAAATCACTTAGATCAAAAAGACCCTTTGAGATAATGTTTCTAAGTCTCTTGTTTTGAAGGTAGAGAAGCTAAGTCCAGCAATGAGGGGAATCATTTATTTTTTTATTTTTAAAAGATTTATTTAATTTACTTTTAGACAGAGGGGAAGGGAGGAAGAAAGAGAGGGAGGGAAACATCAATGTGTAGTTGGCCCACAATCCAGGCATGTGCCCTGACTGGGAATCAAACCAACAACCCTTTGGTTCACAGGCTGGTGCTCAATCCACTGAGACACACCAGACAGGGGGAGGGGAATAGTTTGGATTCATTCATTCATGGAGAGAAAGATATCGAGGCATCCCCAAGCATAGAATTTTAAATTGGACTACTTCCGGGGAAGAGAAATCACCATGAGCCACGAGCACCTACACAAGGCCAGGTGTATCTGAGGAACCAGGGAGCACTTCCCTGAGGGGACGTCAGTGAAGTGTGACTTAAAGGATAAAGGAGAATTAGAAAGGTGAGAAAGATTTTAGCTGTAGACAGTAGGAACACTTCAGGCAAATTTATAGCAAAAGGCATATAGCATGTGCAAAGGCCTTGAGGCCAAGGATGCAGACGAGGACCTATGCCCTGACTTCAGTCTAGAGACCTTTAAATTCCTCTAGGAGTGACTTTCTAAGCAGAGAGTCTCTCCCTTGTGTCACTTGGGTAACACCTCATTCTTCTGAGAACAAGGTGCTGGAAGTTGCATCACATTCACAAAGCAAACTCAGGTGGTTTCTAAGCTGTTGTATGAGCTGCCACTTAGCTCCTGATACAAGGTAGCTGTAGCTTCATGACAACAAAATAGAATGAAACTCAGAGTAATCAGTTATGGGGTGGTGTATGTGTTTCCTGCTCAAAGGTAAGTATTTCCTCCAAACTGACCTGAGATAGGTGATTGTTTGGTGTTGGACTAAATGGTATTGATCATAGGGGCGGAGATTTCTCATAGGACTTGTGGTATTTGGAATCATGCAGGAGTCCTTCCCCCCCGCCGTGAAATGCACAGGGCATCCTGAAGACATGATTGTGAGCTAGTCTGGGGTGACATGTGTCTGGGAACATAGGAGCCAGCCCTCCGGGAGGAGACGGGCACAACTCTTGTCTGATTAGATTTTCTCCTGTGGCCAGACATCTGTGCACTTAGAATTAGTTTTTCCTACTTAAACCTTGCCATTCACCTTAGGCCCAGTGGGTATTTACCAGTGATGTGAGAGTATATTAATGATCACAGCACACATGGCATCAGAACCATATGGATATATACAATGTAAATGTGATGTCTACTTTGTGTTTCTTTCATTTATAACTCACGTTGCTCCTGGTCACAGATTTTTTCCTTTTTTTTTTTTAAGGAATCACAGACTGTTAGAGTATCAGGAGCCTTAAATACGATCGGCTATGACCTTTTCATTTTATGAATGTGAAAACTAATTCCAGAAGAGAATCATGTGGATTGCCTAAAGGCATAGTATATGTGAGCTTCAGACCTGAAAGTCTAAACGGTCTCATGACTGTTTGCTCCCCAAGCTGCTTCCTTAAATGGGTGTAAAAAGTTGGACTTCATCTCCATGAATTTAGATGAAGTAGGAGAGGAGTTATATAGTTGAAGAGGAATGATGTAGTAGGAGAGGAATTATATAGACTCACTCTTACCCTCATCAAAAATAGTTCCTCTCAGCTAATTTAGATCCAGAAAAAAAAGAAGGAAATCAATTTACCATTATGAGCACAGGAAAGGAAGCTCTAATTATAAGATATATTGGAAACTCAGTGGTAATTTTCTGTTAACCCTTGCTGTCTCTTATTCACACTGTCTTCTACTCTATCTTATATCTGTTTACCTCCCCATCCCTAAATCTCCACCTTCTTAAGAGAAGTTCAAGTTGGTCTGATTCAGGCTGTGTTTTTGCATTTTAACCTGACATTTCAACCAGAGTCAAAGCAAGCAGAGGATAGGGTCTGACTTTAAAACCATATACACATTTGTCTTGGGGTGTAAGATAGGCAGGGATAGTTTGTGTCATACTCAGACCAAGTTCGTGCAGAGGAAACTTTCAATGCGGCAGTAGATCTGGGCAGGAAAGCCATCAGGGTGTGAAACAGTCCCTCCAGGGGTGACCACCTGTGCTATTTAAAATGAGACTCTATCTCAGACCTACTGAAGCAGAATTTCCCTGGGGGAAGGGCCTGCACATTGGTACTCCCAGTAAGGTTTCTGGGTGATTTGTTGGAACACCTCGATTTGAGAACCACAAATACAGAGGGAAGAATAGCGAAGGCGAGTTAAAGGAAATAATCTATCATTGTGGTTCCTATTTGTGCAATGGAGACATGTCTTGTAACTTCTGCGTTCCCCCTCTGAGCTCATTCTGTTTTTCTCTATGCTCCCTTCCAATTCTGAATTTTCTCCAATTCTGAGTTTTTCTTAGAAAACTTTGAGTCAGTGAGAAAAGAAGGGATGCCGCCCTAAGCCAGCCAGCGTGGATACTCACTCTGAGGCCCATGAGGTAATAGAGGATGCTGATGACAGTCATGGGGAGGATGTAGAAGAAGAAGGAGGTGACCTGGATGATGAGATTATAGATCCACATGGGCTTGATCACCGTACAGGTGGCAGAGCCCGGGACCAAGGACCCATTGGGGAAGTGGTGGAACTTGATGCCGTGGATGCTGGTGTTGGGCAGAGAGAAGAGAACAGAGAAACCCCAGACGACGCCCAGCACCCGGAGGGCCCTCCGCCTGGTGCTCCCCAGCTTGGCGCGGAAAGGGTGGCGGACGGCCACATAGCGCTCCACGCTGACCGTGGTGACACTGAGGATGGAGGAGAAGCACACAGTCTCAAAGAGGGCCGTCTTGAAGTAGCAGCCCACGGGCCCAAAGAGGAAAGGGTAGTTACGCCACATCTCATAGACTTCCAGGGGCATCCCAAGGAGCAGGACCAAGAGGTCCGAGACAGCCAAGCTGAAGAGGTAGTAGTTGGTGGGTGTCTTCATACTCTGGTGCCGGAGAATCACCAGGCACACCAGGAGATTCCCAGTGACCCCAACCACAAAAATCAGCGCGTACACCACAGTTACTGGGAGGGAGAGGTGGCTGCGCCGGGGCCCACAGAGAAAGGTCAGGTAGTCCTCGGTGCTGTTCCGGTATTTCTCGAATGGATCTTCCAGGTTGTGCTGGGGGATCCAGGAAACATTCTCATATTTTTCCATCACTGACATTAAAATCCAAGACCTGAGTTTCCTCTGGTATGAGCCTCTGTTATCTGGTGTGGCCCAAGAGAAGCCAGAAAGGAAAGAGAAAGCAGACAGAAGAGCACAGATCCATCCAGGAGGCAGGAGAGGGTGAGTGCTTCCGCAGGGATCTCTTTTGAAGAGCCCCCAGACAGAAGCCCCGCCCCCTGTAGGCTGTGGGCCAATGAGTGTGTGTCAGACAGAGGAGAGGACAGCTTCGCCTGCAGAGAGTGAGCTGAGCGGGAGAGGAGGGGGGAGATGTGCCTGTGAATTGGAAGGAGCTGGCAAAACAGCGCTGAGGGACGGTGACACTAGCTTAAAGTGTGGGCACTCTGAGCAGCGCATTTGCAAAGCTGTGGGACTCTGAGTGGAAATACAAATTAAAACTGTAGGGTCACGGGCAGAAGAGTTCAAATCTCCATTGATCCCTGTCACCTGTACAGCACGACAAAAATGGGAGATCAATAGATTTCTCAAGTTACCTTGTTCCTTTGGAAATTTAGGGCTCCCTGGGGAAGGCATGATCAATGTGCCTTTTTGGTTTTGATTGAATCCACGATAAAATTGGAAGCCTGAAAGAGTACTCGCCTGTCATCTAGCCCTGCCTGCTCTCTTGCTGTAGCAAAAGGCAGTGAGGTTTAGAGTCAGGTACGTGCACACATTCTGTAAGACTTCGGGGAAGCTACTCAAACTCTTGGAGCCTCCTTTCCTTATCTGTAAATGGGAGGTCTACTCATTTCATTTAACAAATACTTCTTGAAGATTGACCATGTACAGGGCAGTGCTCTGGGCTTTGTAGAAATGTCAGTAACCAAGTAAGACACAGTCCCTACCTCCATGGAGCTTTCCTTATAGTGGGGAATTCTGAAAATGTATCAGCAAAGTAAAAATAATCACATTTTAGATAATAATTTCTGTTGTAAAGAAAAAGGAAGATAAGGGGCCATACAAAATAAGGCTGGAGGCATCCTTTTTTGAAGGATGCTCAGAGAAGACGTTTCAGGAGATATCATTTGGGATGAGTTCTGAATGATGAAGAGTCGGTCATAAAAAAAAGCTAAGGGAAGCGTATTCCCAGACAAAGTAATAGCAAGTGCAAAGGTCCTGAGGCAATAACAGCTTCATGTGTTTCAAAAACGTCAGGGATACCAGCAGAGCTGAAACTTAATGAGTGGACTGGAAGAGTATGAGTGATTACAATGAAGTGACTGGCAGGGACCAGGTCATATAAGTTTTTCTAGGACTTTGTAAAGAGTATGGCTGTCATTCAAACAGCAGGGGCTTTGGATCTGATTCAACATGCAGAGAGAAATCTTTGGAGGGTCTTGTGCAGGAGAATTTAGAGGAGTGAAGCTTTAACAAGATGGAGGGAGGAAGTCAGTACAGTGTTCCAAGTAAGAAGTTTTAGTGACTTGGATTACTAAGGTAGCAGATCTGTGAATTATCTTTAAATTTGGGGATATTTTTGCATGGGATGATACCTAATATGATTGAGAAAATTAAGTGAAATGACACAACACACCTTATACTTAAAAGATGCTTAATACATGTTAATTATTCTTTACCTTCTGTTTGTTTAATTGAATGATGAAACAGACTGAAAAGGTAAATTGTTCAAAATAATCTGTGAGGTACTGAAACTGTCAGGGACCACACTTTGTAAAGTATATGATTGTCTAACCACTATACTGTATGCCTGATACTAATACAAAATAATATATATTTTTAGAGATTTTATTTATTTATTTTTAGAGAGGGAAGGGAGGGAGAAAGAGAGAGAGAGAGAAACATCAATGTGCAATTGCTGGGGACCATGGCCTGCAACCTAGGCATGTGCCCTGACTGGGAATCAAACCTGTGATGCTCTGGTTCATAGCCCGTGCTCAATCCACTGAGCTACGCCAGCCAGGGCTTACAAAATAATATTGAATGTAAAATGTAATTGGAAAAAATCTTAAAAGAGTAATATGTTAGTCAAGACAGGACAGTTTATGCTGCTGTAACAAATGACCCCATATCTCGGTGTTTTAAAACAGTAGCATTGCATTTCTTCTTTACACTATGCAGTTACCATTGGCCAGCTGGAGGCTCTGTCCCACAGTATACTCACCCTGAGATCCAGGCTGATAGAGCCGTCATTTCTGGGACTTTGCTGATCATTGTGGAAGAAAGAAAGCATACTCTAGAAGGTTTTAAATAGGTAATTATAAGCTCTAGCCCCAAAGTCAGTAATACATGCAGCCTTTGATCATAGCTCACAGCTCACTGGCCAGAGCTAATCGTCTGTCCACTCAGACACAACAGGCATAAAAAATACTGTCTTATTACCATGTGCACAAAAGAGGAAGACCCAGGAAAATCTGGTGAACAGCTGTAGCAATGACACAGACAAAGTCATGGCAGAGCGAGAACTGGATGTTGAAACATTACAAACTTGAATATATATTTTTGATGATGTAGGACACAGGTGTAAATATTGGGGTATGATATCTCTTTGAGATATAAGGGTAATTAAAATGATAAAGGTGGGTGATAGCAGATTATAAACTGCAGGCTGGGGGAGATACATGATACATAGGATGACGGATGAAAGATTCAAAGGCATCTCCACAGTGTGCCTGGGTAGGTCTAATCAAGCAGAATGTTGTCTAATAAGGGATGCAGGAGCAGGCTTCATGTAGAGAGATGGTACAGGAGTGACAAAGGCATGGATTCTAGGGTAGGTTTGGGGTTCAAATCCTGGTTCTGCCTCCTGCTAGCTGTGTGACCATAAGGAACTTATTTAACTTCCATGAGTCTGAGTTACCCCATTACCAAAATGAGTGAGTTAGCAGTGCTGCCTTACAGGACTGTTAGCAGAGTGAAATAGGTCCTGATGAAATGTTCAATATATGTGTATTATCTTAAATAATACAACATTTAAAATAAATATTTAGTAATGAGATATATAATAAGTTTATAATGAAAATGTTTATGTTTACTGAGGTCGAAAAGACTATTGATTGCAAGATTGGAGTACTGAGAGATGTGCTTGGAAGCGTGAGTGTGGAGAGGCCCTCTCAGTGTTAGTGAACTGTCCGTGCAGGACAGCGAGTCAAGGTGGCAGCCAGGAAAGTGGGGGCACGCCCATCCCCACATCACAGTTCTCTCCCCCGCCTTCAAGTTGAGTTGCAATCAAAAGGAATATAAGAATTCCTGATTCTTATATCATATCCAAAAGGAATATAAGAATGCCAGCACTTTGCAGTGTGATACGTACTCTTCCTTATTTCTCCCTGAGACTCTCCTACTGTGGTTTGTCATTGGTTATTTCAGGAAAGAGTCAAGGACAGTGAAGAAAATGGGGTATTGTTGGTAAGGTAGCATTGGATGGAAGTCCTAATTTCAGCAGGTGGAAAACCCGTGCATAAATCCCAGGTCTACCACCAAGGGTTCTGTGTTTGGTCTAATGTGTTCTTGGGCAAGGAATTTTATATGTGTGTATTTCAGTGCTCTCATGCATAAGAGTATGGGTTGTTGTGAGTTCCAGTAATTCTTTGGGGAAATTCTTGGTAGGTTCTGAGAGATTTTGTGATTTCTTGCTTAAATTGTCCATCTTCCCACTAAAGATGGTAGGATGTCTTATTCCCTGTTCTACTTCCATGGCTAGCATAGTGTTGCCACATAAAGAGCATAAAGAGCCCTGACTGGTGTAGCTCAGTGGTTGAGTGCTGGCCTGCAAATCAAAGGGTCGCTGGTTCAATTCCCAGTCAGAGCACATGCCTGGGTTGTGGGTCAGGTCCCCAGTAGGGGGCGCTTGAGAGGCAACCACACATTGATGTTTCTCTCCCTTTATTTCTCCCTGCCTTCCCCTCTCTAAAAAGAAATAAATAAAATCTTTTTAAAAAAGGGCATAAAGAGTACTCAGGCAAGCTTGATCAAAGGGGTGGATACTTATATGAAGGAAAGCAGGAGGATGGAAGAAAGAGGCAAGGACAGCAGGCTGGCTGCTTGTATGATGTTAGTGTTGCTTATGATAATTAGGTTTCCTATGGTCTCTTTCCAGTCTTCTGATCTGAGTTTTTTGCCATGGGTTTTGTGATATAATGCACTAAACTGGTTACCAGTGTAGAGAAAAGAACTGGGCTCTGTGGTCAGGTGGACACAGGTTTAATTTTGCTGCTTGAAACTGTATGACCTTGGGCAAGTTACGTGCCATATCTAAGCATCAGTTTTCTCATCAGTAAAATGGGATCAGCAATTCCTGATTTATATGAGGATTAAATGGCAAAATAGCTTAGCATGCCATTTGGCATACAGCAGCATTAAATAAATGCTATTTTCCTGCACTAACAGTTTAAGGAAGTTGATCTACTAATGCAAAGATTTGATCAATGGCTGGTATGCTGGTACACTGTAGGTATTTGATAAATGGTTTGAAGGAGAATGTGTAATGGTAACTAACATTCAATTTTGTCTTCACTCACATTTTAGCTGAAGGTGATTTGTAAATCTTTGGTTTTTATATGATTAAATTTTAGTTTTTTATCTTCTTTTTTAAAATGTTGATTGTACAACTTTATCTTTTGAAACTGAAATTTTTCTTTGTTTTGATCTACGATTAATTTTTGTAAATGTTGTAGGAGAACCTGAAAAGAAGGTATATGTTTGATACGAGATAAAATCTGATCTATTGAATATATCTATTAATTTTATCTTATGGACTACATCACTTAATTTTCTCTGTTGGAAAGCATTAACAATGCTGTAGAAACAAACAAATAAGCTAATACAGCTTGTTCACCTGTGAATACTGGGTAATTCACAGAACGGAAGGATGAGATAAATGGCCCAGCCCCAAGCTGGAAGGAAACCAGGTTAGCTGCGAGGAGCCGAGCAGCACACCCTCATGCACGGCATCTCTGGGCCGCTTTCTTCTGTGATGCTTCATTTTCTACTATCCTCGCTCCCTTCGGATCTCTGCCTAAGAGTCAGATTCACCATGCAAT